GTATTTAAATTTTGTTCTCAAATATAATGTATTTCATAAGATAAAAATCAGTTTTGTATTAAATACTTTTTATTTATCAACCAATCACTATTAATCACGTTGACAAAAGCGTCTGATTAGGAAATAAAATAAGGGTGCATGCGTCTTTTATTTTCTCTCTTAATTTATCTTAATTAAAACTCTTAGAATGCACTATATTAGTGGCTTACAGGAGAGAGGGAGTACTCCAATAATTAGCTGTTCACCTGACAATATAGTATGTAACATGCATACGTTGTTATCCACTCAAATAATTAGCCGCTCACCTCACACGCTAATCACGTACACACGCTAATCACGTCACATGTAAAATCAAGTGTATCAGGTCACATACAAACTTACGTGATAGTCAAAACATAAAAGTCCAAAGTTACAAAATCAAAAGGATCTACTATCGTCCCGTTTATTTTGGGTTGTTTGACTGATATGCCATGACTGAAAGTATTGTTGGCTGATTTGGTGTGAGAGAAAAATATTATTCGTTGACTGATAAGCCATGACTTATAAGTCAAATACGACCAAGCGAACAGGGCATATATCAATAGATCACACATATATCAACCAAATCTAAGAAACAGATTTTTTTCATATTTAAACTTTCCTTAATCAAAATAAATGAACGACTTACATTCATTTGGGGTACCATAGCAAAACCCAACTCACATAGGAGTGTTTGATCCCAACTAGACTATAGTTATCGCATAAAATAATCTGAAGATGATTCAAATGTCCAAGATTATGGATTGGATTATAAGACCATGTTTGGATCCATAGAACTAACAACTAGTTGGCTAATTTTTATTCCCTAAGCATCAAACAGGTGGACTAATTATTAGTCCACTAATTATAAACTAGTTATTAGTTTACTAGTCTATTTATAGGAGATAATAGAACTAGTTGAAACAGGCCCTAAGTCGCACTTCGCGTTGTGGCTGTGAGGCGCGCATCAGGCTCCTTGGTCAGTGACCGGTGCAAGCGTGGGACAGTTCGCGCACCCAACACTACACTATCCGGAGCATGCAGCAAGCGACCAACCCCGGCGATCCTATCTCCTCCTCCTCCTCCCCGGCGCACGTTTCCCAGCGGTGGTTGCCTGATTGCTTTCGTCATGGTCTCGACGAGGCGGTTCGGTCGGGTTCGTACAAGGGACGCCACAGGTCGTCAGCTGAAGCCGGCCTGCAGAGTAGTTACCAGCTGGTAGCACATTCCGGGGGAGTCTCTGAACGAGCTGATGAACGTTCGCCGGCCGGCGTCCGTCTCGGTCACACACCACAGAAAAAACCGTGGTTGAGATGGCCGTGTCACCGGGGATGCCGCGCTTGTCCCGTTGCAGGTGAAGATTAGGGCCCAAGCAACCCCAAGTCCCCCGCATGGTCTCACTCTCACCACTGGGCTTTGCTTGTATAACCCTGCGACTGACCGTTGCAGCAAAACGCCATGGCCGCCTGAGGTCACGACAGGGGAAAAGGGGAAGTGTACAATGACGCCGCGCAGGGGACAACGCGCCCGCGGCCGGGATAAAGAAGAGATTGCGAGCCTAAGCAACAACCAACCAAAACGTGTGTGCCTGTGTTGTTGTTGCGATTGCAACAGCTGGGCCAGGCCTTGATCTGGTCCCGGTCCGCAACCGCACAATCCTGTGCGTTTTATGGCGGACGTATGCGCTTGTTCTCTTCCCCCGGGCCTCGTTATGCCGGCTTTTCTCGCGGGAGGCTTTGGGATTTTCCGCGACGTGTGGCGAGCCTGTCGCTTTGCTGCTCGCTTCACTTGCTTCAGCTCGGGGGAGCCTGCGGTGGCAACAGGACAGGAGAGGATAACACAATGCAACCAAGAAGACCACTGCCAACTACTGGGCCCTCGTTTAGTTGGGCAGAGTTGGTGGCGGCAGATTCACTGTAGTTACAGTGACGTTTTGTTTTTATTTGGTAATAATTGTCCAAATGTTGACTAATTAGGCTCAAAACGTTCGTCCCGTAAAGTACAACCAAACTGTGCAATTAGTTTTTAATTTCGTCAACATTTAGTACTCCATACATGTACCACAAGTTTGATGTGACAGGAAATCTTCTTTTTGCATAGTGTCAAATTCTGGAATCTGGAGGAACTAAACACCCCCTGGGGGATGAAAAGCGTGGATCAACCAAGAAACGCACTGGCCAATGATTGAACGAAGAGTGCCGTGCAGTGCTGTACTTATTGTGCCGAAAGCTTTGGTGCTTCAATTTCAGTGGCGTTAAACTACAGGCTACTAGTAGAAGTTTTTGGGAGAGAAGCTGGTTGAGCTATTAGCGGCTTCTGTGTTCGGGTGGGCTACTGGGCTTATTTTGTGCTCTCCTATGGAACGAACAGGTCCACCAATCTGGTAAATTCCCGGGCCTACGTGGCGGTCCACACCGACATTCAGGTTCAGTCGGTTACGGGCCAGGTCGGTCATGCACAGAGTCAGCACGGTCCACGCGTGTGCGCTCGGTCGGTTTTGTTTCTGATTATTATTACCAAGTGTACGTAGGAAAGAAGGTTTGAGAAACAAATACCACGGTTCAGGGTGCAGTTTGTATTAAGGCCACAGTTAAGCAAGATCCTATAGGGTTTACGACAAACGTATAGTATTAACAGTATAAATAAGTCCAAATCACTACCCAAGTTCGACCTACAAATAAAGTCCAAATGGATCGTGGATTATTTATCACTAGCATTTGGTTTGGTGTGAGAGAAAAATACGATTCCAGCTTATAATTCACGATCATATACGATCGTTTACGGCCTGCCGAACAGGCTGATAGAGCAACTTTAAAGTGTTAGAGACCACGTTAATAAAGATCTTTGCCTAGCATTTATGGTTTTCTTCAAAACTGTCTAGGGTGCACGTAAAATAAAGTGGTGTCACGTTGGTAAAACCATCATCAAAACTGTCTAGGGTGTAAAAATAAATTGTTTTAAAAGTTGAAGAGGTAAAGAAACGGTTTTATAAATGAGGACGGTAAATCCAAGGACCGTAAAAATGAAGAGAGGGACTTTTTTTCTATATTTGGTGCAGGCTTGCAGCTCTACTGAGTACTGGCGCTCGCGCTGCGTGCCTGCGAATGGCCGCGGGTGAGGATGGCCGGGAAAGGCCGTGGGCGCTGGTTGGCTGAGCCTGATTGATATATAGACGTGGAGCGCGCTGTTGGTAAATGTTCTGTTTTCGCCTACAGACAGATGCAGACTGCACATAAATAAAAGCTACAAAATATTTTTTTCAAAAGGGACAAAAGCTGCAAAATATTCTTGTGATATGCGTGCAGTTACCTGTATTTTTCTTTTTTTTGTATGAAACTCAGATACCTGTATTGACCCTACACGTATGGTGTATCTTGCGTCTAACTGTATTGATGGAATTGTTGTAAAAAAAACTGTATTGATGGAAGTTTTTTCTTTCAAAAATACTATACTACGGAGTACAATTTACAGTCAGCTAAGCTGAACGTGTTCCCAAGTTCGGGTCAGCAGTGCCGATCGGCACACTTGCACTTTGTAAACTCGCTGCCGCACACACAGTAAAACGCCCAGTGGAAACAAACATCACCCATGAAACTGCAGCTACATGCCTACGTACATCTAGCTCTAGCTCTTCCGTTTCCATCAACGGAGTTCGACGAAACTGCTGCTACGGCCGGGTACGTACCTACCTCCCCATTTTCGAATTCTCGCGTGCCTCAAAATTGACTCATGGTCCGGCCCGAGACCCACATCTTTGACGGCGCGGACCCTGCCCGGCTGCCCCCGCTGGAGTGGTCGAAGTCGAGCGGCCAATCGAGCCCCTTCGCGATCGCCGGCCGGCCCAGCCCGCGCGACACGACGCCACGCCCCCTCGTCGCGAGGCGCTCAAGCTTGACTTTTTCCGAGCTTCCGAGGCATAGATTAGTCCGCCAGCCAAAAAAGTACGCCCTTTTTTTGTCTTCTGTACGCACGCTCAATTTTTAGGGTGCGTGTGCGTGCAATAACCCCAAGCTCGTACTAGTAGCTAGCACCGGACGCTTGGGTATCGGAGTTACCTATCCATATGTCCAACGCTCCAAGCCGCTCGAGCTATGATGCGCAAGATCGCTGTCTATGCATTCTAAAAAAAAAGATCGCTGTATATGCACAGTAGTACATATAGCCGCACAGTAGTAGAATGTGGCCATGTTCGCTTGTCTTATAATTCATACTTTTCAGCTTGTTTTTTTTAGCTAGAACAGTGTTTTTGCTTGTTTTTTCAGCGAAGCGAACGAGGTCGGTTGTGCATCATAATTTTCAAACAAGTGGGTTCGTCCCTCGTTGTTCTTGCTAAAAAAACTGACAGGTGGGTTCCATCAGATCCAACTACTAGTCACACGAGTTCAAGTTAGAGGAGGTCCATCCATTTTATTCTTGGCACACTAGTAGCAGATAATCTACACACGTGTGGAAGATATACACGGCAACCAATATACTCTCTCCGTCTCAAAAAAACATATAATTCTAGCGTTCAAATCTTGTCTCAAAAAACATATAATTTTAAGTTGTGGTCATCTTTTTAAGTGGGCTCCACCGAATAAAAAAAAACCATGTCAGAATACTCTAGATATTTTAATGTTGTTGTGTGGTCGGTATTGTTTCACCATTGTCCTGAACTTTCAAAGAATACTCTAGATAGAGGGAAAAACATAATTTCACACTTATGCTAAACTGGCCTTGAAAAACGATATTCACATGTTCGGTGGGACGGAGGGAGTAATACCGTAATAATTATTTATGCAATTTCCCGTTTATTCGACTTCAATTGATCTGGTCATTACAGACCTCTTTGAACTGTTACATGTATGTTCACTTGTGCAAAAAAAAAGATAAAACAAGAAATACCATTCAACCAAAAAAGAGAGAGAGAGAGTCAACGGAAAGTAATAAAGCCGGTCAATTTTCTACAGCTTCGTGCGTCGCCGTCAGGACTCAGGCCGTCATCAGCACCCTTCCATGTCCCTCCAGCCGAGGTAGACCAGTCCGGCGAGGTAGTGCGCGTAGGCGCCGGCGATGACGAGCACGTGGAAGAGCTGGTGGCTGTGTCCCGCTAGGTCGAACCACCCGGGCATCCAGCGCTCGGGGACCCTGGTGGCGTACACCACGACGCCGGCCAGGTAGAAGGCGCCCATGGCCATCTCGTACCCCGTGGTGAGCACGGCCTCCGGGCGGTCCCCGAAGACGAGCATCTTGTGCAGGATGGGCACGAGGCCCGACATGCCCATGCACGCGAACAGCCCCGCCCGCGCCCACCGCAGCTCGGGCCTCTCGAAGACGGGGAGGAGGGAGACGGCCACGGCGGCGGCGCCGGAGACGGTGATGAAGCCGAGGTAGAGCGCCTGGTAGAAGGGGTCGCACAGGAAGGTGTAGTAGACGAGCGGGTAGAAGGAGGTGACGATGAGCCCCGTGATGCCCGCGTAGTCCAGCCGGAGGAACACGTAGCTGGCGTGCTCCGAGTGGCACGCCAGCAGGTGGCACGCGCTGCTCATCAGCAGGCAGAACATGGCGCCGCAGAGGTACGCGTAGAACGGCCACCGCGGGACCCGGCCGTGCCCCGCCGCTGACAGAACGGCGGCGGCGGCGGCCTCGGTTTTGACGACGGACACGTTGTGGAACGCCTTCATTGTCATTGCCAAGAACGCTCCGTTCGCGCTGTAGCTCCTCAGCACCATTGCGTTGTCGCTGATGTTGGCCAGGCCCGTGAACGACGTCGCCAAGTGAGGCGACGACTCGTACTCCGTCGGGACCATCGTGGCGGCGCACACGGTGAGCGCGAGGAAGACGAAGAAGCCGATCAAATGCCTGCAGGAGATGCCATGAATTAATTAAGCACCGCCGGCCAGTACGAGGCAACCAACACTGATGCAACACTTACGTCCAGACGTTGATGGTCTCGTTGTGGACGGAGAAGGCACTGAGGAGCGCCTCCTTGATGGGCCACTCGCTGCGGTAGTGGTCGACGATGAACTCGTTGTGCTTGAGGAACTCCGGCAGCTTGTCGTAGCTGACGAGCTCGCACCTGTGCCCGCAGCACCTTCCCTTGGCCTCCTTCTTCATCAGGAGAGGAGACCGCATGGTCTTGGGCGATCCAACAACACCTGCGTCATCACTCTGGATGGTGGTCGTCTTCTCCAGCGTCACCGTGGAAGCCATTCTCGAGAGTTGGTTGTCCTGTGCCACTTGCTTGTTGGAGAATGGAGGAGGTGTGTTTTGCATGCTTGCGCTGGCTTCCTGGGTTTAAATAGGCCACCACACACAGGCGTTTGTGTATGAATATATGAATATTGCGGGAGTTTTGTGATGGTGACCCGGTCCGATTAGTGGGACGGCATGTGGGAAAATGGGAGAAATTCTATGCGTGGCCACGGTCCAGTTTTTGGCGCTGGTTTTAGCGGACCGCCAGACGATCGAGCCGGATGATGTCAATGTCATGGTGGCTAGTAGTAGCCTAGCACCAGTCCTGTGGTGACGTGGATCTTCCTTCGATTTTCAGTTGCTGCTGTCCATTTTCCCGCTCGTGGGAAATGAGAATGGCTTCGTAGCCAGAGTCACGGCCAGGGACGCGTGGAGGAACTTGCGAGGTACGGTACGGTGAGCACGACCAGAGTTCTGTCCCGTTCCTTTCGTCGAAAAAACAAGTCGAAACATTGTTTTGGCTGATTTGTTATGAGAAATAAGCTAAAAAAGCGGATTATAAAAGAAACGAACAAGGCAGCCTTTGGCGGCTTAATAATTTGTTAAGTAGGAATCACCAGGGCACAACCTAACGAGATTCAGCTAGCGAAGGCACGTGAAGCCAACCAGGGCAGCTGCATGCGGACGCCGAAGCAGAGACTCGTCAGAGAAACGGCGCGGCTGCGTTTGATTGTTCAAGTCAAGACTCAACAGCTCCGATCCGACACTTGACATTTGAAAGCAGCAACAATGGCCGGCCGGCCAGCGGTCCAGCGGCACGCCAGAGATCGCGAGCTGCGAGCCTAGTCAGCATAGTGAAACACTAAAATGGGGCGCAAGTGATAAAAATCGTCGATCAACCGAATGATTGAATTGAACTATTGAAGTACCCATACCATACACCTTTCCGGATACCTTTCGCGACCTTGTCAAAAGTAGTATCGCCGGCCGCGCCGCCCCGGCAGGGTGGTGCGTGCATGAAGTGGAGCCCGCTAGCGGCTCTAGCTAGGTCTCGGACGACATGGCTGATGGCTCCCTGCTTCTCGGAGAAAGGCCCGCCCGGCCCTGTGTTTCTCCGTTGCCGGTTGACAGATCGATACGTCCTATAGCAAAGGAGGAGGTGTCAGTCGTTGTTGTCGATGCGCATCGGTTGGATCTTGGCTCGAGCGCCATATTTCGCGTCGACGTTCTGCATTGTTTCATAAGCAGTGGCGACGCCGACGATTAGGCATAGGCATGCCCCCGTTGCGCTGACGATGATACTACTCGGCGTCGGCGAAGCGAGCGGCGGCAATTGGACGAGAATTTTTTGTCAAAAAGGCGCGGGCTCTCATCTGGTGGTAACTCGTTGCCCTGTCGCCGTCTCGCCCTGCCGCCGTCGGAGGAACGGCAACAAATGCAAGATGTCCGTATTGCCTGATTCGTTTGTCGTGGGCGGTAGCGACTGCGTGGTTCGGTGCGTGCTAGCGCGGACGGTCGAATTTTTTTTTATTTTCAGCCCTTTTAAAAAAAAATTATAAATACGTCTCTAACAGTATTCTTTAAAAAAAAATAGACCCAGGCCTTGGTTCCGTGACAATTGGACGCCGAGCTTACATGTCTCAGCGCCATTTGCTTTGGCGCCAAGGTCCAGGGTCATTTTCTTCGCGTCGTTGACGTAGCTGCTTGCATGGTGCGGACGTGGCATGAACTCGGCGCCGTGGATCTTAGCACCGAGCTATGGAAATTGATGAGCGAAAGTTCGCTGGGTTACGACTTGAGGTCCTTGAAATTGTTTGCACCACAAATTTACAGGAAACTATTGAAAATATACAAATTTAGAAGATAAAATGTCGCAAACATGTCAATTCACTGACGGCAATAAAGGAATTAAAAAGATTTAGAGGGGCCAAAACAGCGTCACAATTCGGCCATGTTAAAGACTGAATTAGGTTTAGGTCCAAAACCAAAATTTGTTGTACTCAACTCAAACTACAACTTTTATTAAAGGTCAAACTGCATATCTAGAAAAAAAACTATACTTTACCCTAGTCAAAACAACATCATGAAAAAAGAATTAACTATTGATCCAACACTTAGAAGCACTTTCACGCTAGTTCATGAACATAATGCCATGTTCGCTTGTCTTATACTTCCTCCGGTTCTCTAAAGCAAGTCGTTTTGAGGTTTAAAAATATGAAAGTGATGTAAGTAGATTCATCTCGAAATGTAGTTTCATAAAAGTATATATTGACTATATTTTATAGCAAAAAGTTGAGTCAAAGTCGTTTCTTAAAGACCGTGTCGATGTCCAAAACGACTTGCTTTAGAGAACCGGAGGGAGTAATCCGTACTTTTTAGCTTGTTTTTTCAGAAGGAACAGTGTTTTCTCTCTCACGACAAATCGCCCGGAACAATGTTTTGACTTATTTTTTCAGCGAAGCGAACGGAGCCATAAACCCTGAATTTTTTATTTTTCTCTTTTTTTTAAAAAAAATCACAAATATGCTCCCGGATGTAAGATTTTAAAATCTTGATCCTTAGCTCGGCGCCATCGTTGCTGGCACCGAGTTTACACGTCTCGACGCCATCGCTGCTGGCGCCGAGGTCTTGGGCTTGACGTAGACGTGGCGGTGACTTGGCAGGCAGCTCGGCGTCGTAGATCCTGGCACCAATATCTATGGCGTCGAGGTGATGTTTTAACTCGGCACCCAACCTTTCTACCCGAGACTACTTCCTCTTCTTTCTCCTCCCTCTCGGGTTTTTCTCTCCCCACTTCATCCTACCTCACGAATCGGTATATTAGATCTTGAAAACTTTGATTTGATCCGTAGATCTTCGAGAGCAAGGCATCCTCGCTCCCCTCCTAGTTTTTTTCGCATCGATTCGATATATATTAGTCGGATTTTTTAATCTGAGAATCGTCATTACTTAGAGTTTCATGCAATTTTTAATATTTGTATTATACAACCGTAGGATGCCAAGGCATGGAAAAGCTAGCAAACCAAAGTAACCTCAGCACATGTTGTTATGTTATAGGTTCATTGTTGTGCATCAAATAGGAAACCCTAGGTTTATGGTTTAATGTTAATTGCTTTCGGTTCTTAGAACGAAATTGGTTGAATTGTAGTTATGGCCGGATGATCGAAAATGCCTTCGACTCATTGCCTCTATCTAGTGGTGTTTCAGTGCCCATGTGCTTTTGTGGTGATCCTTGTAAGGTAGCCAAGTCCGATGAAGAAGACACGTATAGACAGAGGACACGTATAGGCAGAGGTATTGGATGTGTGCACAAGCGTGTCGACACTGAACTCGTGAGGTATCCTACTCTTGATATTATAGTTGCGATGCCTATCTGCTGCCACCAAATGAAAACATAGAAAGTGGTACTGCCTTGATTTATTACAAGTGCATGTGAAATCTTGGAGGATAACCACATGCATCCTCGACTCTCGGACCTCGCCGTTGGACGTTGTACCGCCCCTATGCTCGACCTGATAAGTTCCTATGGCGTGGTCAAAGCATGTAACCTCATGTGTGCCAGCCCTTTCATTTGCCTTCTTTAGGTGTGCCTTTGGTTTCAGAGCTCATGTCTCGCCATCACTCCGCAACTTTAATACATAGGCGTGTCTATCATTGAACCAGGCAACAGGCTTATAGAAGGTGAATTGAACGATTGCATTCACGTGCATACCACGTATCCCCAATAGCAACTTATTGAATGACTTCGCCATGTTATTGCACTAAAACTCGTACCTCCATCCACCAGCGTCGTGAGCTCTTATCCATTTCTCCAAATCCCTCATCAAACCTATGAGTCATTGTCTACCTTCTGTATTTGATGCGGTTCTGATCTGCTCCAACTTTTTCTAAAAGTACTTGTTCTCAACCTGTCGAGCAGCCTCCTAGAACAGATCAAAGTTATCCTTCACACCATCCTTCTGGAGTAGATTCTCAGCAAGGTGCCGAGTACACCAACAATGGTGCAAAGGTGCATACCCTTCTATCTGCTCTCGCACGGCATTAAGTATGCCCTGGTGCCTATCAGATATGACGCCAACCTCCCTGCCAGGTCCAACCACACGTATCCAGACTAGCCTCAAGAACCATCCCCAACTGTCATTGTTCTCCTTCTCAACCAAAGCAAATACCAAAGGAACCAACTTGTTGTTCGGGTCACAGGATATGGCTATAAGAAGTGTGCCCTGCCAATCAAGAACGTACCATCAATGAAGAAGATGGGACGATAGTGTCTAAAGGCCTCGACACACTGAGGGAAGCACCAGAAAGCACGGAAGAATATCTGCCTCCCATCCTTTCATGCATTTGGTTTTGGGATGTACTCATAATGCATTCCTGGATTCACCGCTTTGATTGCATTGAAATGTACTGCCAGCTGCTCGTACCCATCCTCCCAATCCCCATATATCATCTTCCACGCTCGCTGCTTAGCCCTCCAAGCTTTACCATAACTTATCACATAACCTCCATACAACACCTCAACGGTCCTGATAATTGTCCTAACATTCATATTGAGTTCTCCATGCAATATTCCGATCAACCGCTTGGCAATAATGGCATATGTCAACTGCCGATGCTTCAGTGTCAGCTCATGGTCAGCACAATTGTGTGGCTCGATAACTTTTGTGATCTTTCACTTTCCGGTGACCTTTTGCTTCCTTGCATAAACCCTCCATGGGCAGCCTTCCTTGTCACACACACAACTATGTAACGACGATTCGTATATGAATGCAAGACCTTGTAAGGTCTCTTTTTTGTATCACTGTAAACACCTGCAACCACCTCTTCAATGCAGGGAGGTCCTTAAATACCCTCTCATTCTCAATTACCATGTTAGGGCCAGCATCAGGAGCTTCTAGGAGCTCATCATCACGTTCTTCTGCACACGCCTGATCAGAATGAGCAAGATCATTGAACTCGTGAACTTTTGGATCACGGCGACCGGGAAAGATACGCCTCAGCATCTCAACATCACTCCC